AAATAAAAATTAATTACCCGAGAGTATACACACAGAGCCTTCCTTATAACTGTCTTATCAACGCTCCCGTTACCACGTGTTATGTACATGCAACCCCGATGCGTCTATGAAAATGATAATTATAACGACGATAAGGAATATCCGGGGAGAATACCGCAGCTTCGAATTTGCATCGCGACGTTTTAGAAATGATTGGCGTAGGTCAAAAGAGAACGATCTCTTATCTGAAAAACAAATAATTAATAAGAGACAATTCTCCGTTTAACGTTGCCTCTTTTCAAAAGATTTCAAAAAGTGTTGAAATGTTTTGAAATATTTCGAAATTTGATCAGATCCCTTTTAAATATCGATAATTATCTTTCCAATTAGCGATCGGTCTAATCCTTATCGAGAATATAGAAATACCAATAATTTTCCGAGTTTTAAGAATACCGAGAATTAATTGTAGTCGAGGCTCAATTTTCAGCAAAAGCAATGCACATTTCTGGATACCCGATCCGAAAACTGCAACGTGAACGATCCGCGGAGTTCTCACATTCGTATATTCGTATTGCAACGCGAACAATGCCTGCAATGCCCGATATACGAGCAGCGGACGTAATCGTAATCGCGGCGCGACGCGATTAAAACGAAGACTCGGGCTTTTTATCAGTTTTCTTTATTATTCCGCGATCTGTCTTGCGACTGCGAGCGGCTGCGAGCAGAGGGCACGGATCGCGAGAACGGAACGCGAGCGTCGAGTAAAGTGGCAGCGATCGATTTATCGGCGAGATAAAGCGCGCACACGATACCGTTCCCCGATTTCGCCTAGCTAGCTCCCTGAACTCCGCAAATACGACCCGATGTTGTTTTCGCAACGACGGTATATCGATCGCCTTTCTCTCTCTCTCTCTCTCTTTCTTTCTCTCTCTTTTTCTACGCGATTCCGCCGCTTGGATTCCGTTGCGAGCGCAGAAAAATCGCGCCGAAGCGAAGGTGAGAAACGTACGGTCACGGTCTCTTCCAGCGCAGAACAGAAATACGAGATTCATCCAAAGGTTCTTTCTATCGTTATCAATTTCGGGTCGGATTCTTTACTTCGCGACACATATTACTCGGTATTCCACAACACGATGCACCTGTTATTGTTGTGTGGATAAAAATGCGATGAAATGCAGAGTTCGAGGTGTAAAATAAGCGAGAAGTAAATTTTCGAATAAATTTTCACTCCGCATGCTTATCCTCTCTACAAACAATTTTTCCATTAAAAGATTAATCTGGATTGTAATTCTTACCAATGGAACTTTTCCATTAAAAGATTTAATATGGATTACATATTTTACAAACGAGTCCTTTTTCCATTAAGAGATTAATGTGGATTATAAATTTTATGAAAGCGAATTAGTTCTTAAAACTAATTTTTAAACTTTCGTACGTATATTGAAAGATTAATTTTCGCAGAATCGATCTCGCGGCGTATTTAATTTTCTCAATAAAATTGAAGTTTAAATTAGTCTGTTAAAATACGAATTAAATGCATATGAAAGTTGGTCGATTATCGCAATATTGCAAAATATTTCTTACTGCAGAATGCCTGTATATATATATCTGAATAATAATTCCACAAAGAGAAAGAAAATGTTTCTGCTGGTACACAGTATTATATATATATATAATACACATAACAGTATATGTATGTTATATACATATAACATACATATACTGTGTACCAGCAGAAACATTTTCTTTCTCTTTGTCAAGTTATTATTCAGAGATAGAGAAAAAAAGAAGATTCGAAGATAGAAAGAAATAACCTGATGAATTTTCCTGTTACATTCACGTCAGTAATAATGTATTTGTGTAAAGAGTCATTTGCATATTTGTGGAAATGTTTCCTATCGCGATGTGTGTTATGCAATGCACATTATGAATAATTTATTTTGTGATTAATGATTTCAAACTTTTCTTTTTTTTTACAAAATTATATAGGTTTTTTATTTTTTCTTCTCGTAAGTTATTTTTTAAACCATAGATTTAATAATTATTACATCATTTATTGCAGCATTCTAATCTTTAACGTTTTGTACATACTATATATATGCATATACATATATCCTTCATAAAGCTTTAAATTAATTTATTTAATTTTAGCTTTATTATACAAAGGAGGGTATACATTTTAGGCATTTTGGAGAGCACGCAGGGATCGTTGGATTCATATTTTTTTTTACTCACAATCAGTATCACTTGCTGAATCCGAGAAAAATGGTCAAAAAAATCCTAGTATCCAGGAAAAGTTTTTAAACACATTTTATACCGAAGAAAGCAACGATTGATTTTATCACTCGAGCCAGCTCAGCAAATTTCTCTTAATATATTTTTATTAAAATCGTGGCTTTATACTTGTATTAAACAAGATTTTATGACAAAGGCTATTATTATAGAGTATCTAATATGAAATGAAATACTATGGATCGGAATAATAGGCTACAAATGAGGCCTACAAATGAATGTTGGTACACCTGTAACAGAGATTACGGATCTGACTTTGAAGTCATATAGTCGTAACAATTATATGCTTTTGTATGTTTTTTTATGTTTTGAAACTATATATGTTTTGAAACTAAGCCTTTTTCCTTTCTCATCAGGACCTGAATCCTGCAATGGTAAAATTACCTTAAGCTATGTACATATATGTATTGTTTACGAGCAATGTTACGAGACCTCATTCTGGCTCTTACGAATAAGGGTGTTTCCGGAGAAATATATGTAAATCTCGATAACCCGGATCAGATTCTTTATTCATCATCTCGAACTCGTACTCACCGTCAAACAAATGATCTCCACGTAAGATTTTGTCAATAAAAGTTGGTACGGACCACTCAAGTTTCGGAGTTTTTCGTTGGAAAATCAAAGAAAAATAAGAATGTCTTCTTTTTTCAATTTTTCAAACTGACGTCTTTGTCGGTTTAATCGACAACCTAACCACATTTTTCTACTAATAATTACTTGATAATGATAAGTGTAGAGCAGCTGTAACATTGTTTGCTAAAATAAATTTACCGAATGTTCTGCAATTACGACAATTTTTTTGACCATTTTTCTCGAATTCAACAAGTAATACTGAGCGAAAAAAAATGCATACCGTTCTTTAATAAGGCTTTAAATTACATTTCTATTTCAATAAATAAAATTTACTTAACAAAGCTATATTATAAATTTAATAAGGCTTTAAACTTCATTTTCATTTCAATACATTAAATTTATTTAACATAGCTGTATTACAAATTTAATAAGGCTTTAAATTCCATTTCTATTTTAATTTAATTTAAAATAAAGCTTTATTATCTATATATATAAATTTAATTAAGCTTTAAATTCCATTTCAAGATTTTAATTTAAATTAATTAAAAAATGTAGACATTTCTAAAACCAGTTATTAAATATCGTTAAACTATTATTTATTAAATAACTTTGTTTAATAATAAATGTTAATACATGACAAACAATATTTACATTTTAAAGCTGAAGATACATTAAAAAATGATTAAAATACAATTATATTATATTTTTTAATCTTTTTAGGAAAAATTTTTAGATTGTTTTTTGCACATTTTAAACTACGTAAAATGATTTCTGGATATATTTATGTATCTAAGAGAAGAGGTTGGAAATAGTCTTTGCGCGGATCAGATTAAGGATTAAGCAATGCGTCTGCAACTGTGCGAAGTGTTAAATAAAAGTTTATTAATTATACAATTATTATTATATAAATTCTATCATGTATTCCAGTATTCTTTTCTGATGTTTACAAAAACTTATGCCAAAAATAAGAAACATACAAAATTTCCATACTCTATAAATATAAACAATTATATATATGACTATAAAATGTAATAATATAAAAATGGTAAAAAGTCCATACACACACACACACACACACACACACACACACACACACACACACACACACACACACACACACACACACACACACAAACGATAAAGATGAAAATCAATGAAAATAAACGTAGAAGAATAAGCAATTGATTTACAGAGGGATATTTTCAAAGGGTTATAAAAGCGACAAATAAAAAAGATAAATGTAACAAATACTATAATAAAATAAATAATGCTCAAGATAGAGGACACACTGTCAATGTTATCATTTTAAGAGGAAACATTGAGTAATCAGGAACCGGGTTTTTGGGAGATTAGGAGACATTGTGCTAAATGATTTATATTCTTCTTATTACACTATTACCCAAAGGCGTTTTTGAAATTTTTATAATCACAATTTTTTCCAATACAGAGCAGGGAATAAACAAAACAAACAATGGGAAATATATTGTATATGTATGTACATAAATGGTTTATGCTGATAAAGATTGGCACTTTATTAATATGCATACAAGTCAAAGTTGTTTCTCGCCGGAGCTACAAGTTTTCAGAACTTTTGGAATATTTCCCAAAAGATTCCGATCTGTAGAGCTTTTCGGATCATCGGATTAGGGATACTCAATCTGTATTTACATATCTTGGAAAGGTTTCTCGTATGCAAATATTAATCGTCGCGAGACTATGTTCACATTATTGACCGTGATACGTGACGAAATATAATAACGACTTTATTAGAAGCACAGTCTCCACGTGTCAAGAATTCGCTCATGTATACCTCCCCCCTACATTCCTCGTATGTTTCCTAGACCACTGTAGTCAGTTGCGTCCTAACTCGTACACGGTTCACAGGCAGCGACTGTCTTCCTCTTCTCTCGTTAATTTTTGTCAACGTAACGAGCCGATATTCCAACACTTTTATCTCAACTTTTAGTAATTCGATCTCTAGAATTTACTTGTAATTAAAAAATTTTTTGTATTCTTGTTAGAAGATCCAGTGTTCGATTTGACGAGAATCTTTTAACATCTTTGATGTATTTTTAACAGTAGTTTCGTGTGGTAACACATCGATATTTTATGTACGATTTTAAGATGTGCTTTCATTGAATCTATTTGTCTTTCAGTGACGGAAGTGCAAGATGCCTTCAATCGATACGCGATCGATAAGAGTGCCTGGAGAAATGGATCGGTGTCCATTGCGCAGACCAGACGCTACATCGAGACATGCTGAATGCCGATTCACGCTGGATGTGTCCAGCACATTGGAATCGTCCCCCGTCGTTTGCGACAATTTTCGAACATGCTGCGACGTATCCAACACCGCCAATGCCGTCCCGTTCAAAAAGGATACCGTCACGACGCTGGAAAACGAGCCCAATAGTGCGGCTCGCTTGCAACAAAACACTTCATTATCTCACAATGTCCGTTCAACTGACCTATGCTCGTCGCAAAAAGAATCATTTGATCGTCCCATCGCTGTTTGTGATCATGGACGTGATACAAGTGTAATAGACCACCGAAATCGCCATGGTTCTACGCGAAGGAGCGACGCGATGAGATACTCTCACGCGGCGGATGCATTCTCGATAATGAGATACGGTTTCAATCAAACGTTAGGATTAATGATCATCGATTGGATAACGAACTCTTCCTGGAGGAGATTGCGAACCTGCTTTCCTCTCTTAATCTGCTTTTTACTTTGTGTGACGCAGTCTACCGCCCACACTTGTTCAGTTGGATTAAGTACACCGGGATGTAAGTTTCGTTCAAATATATCTTTGCGTATGAACACAATCGACGGACAAATATATGATACGTTTTATTCACGTACTGGATATTACGCGTTAGCAATTACTGAATTAGTTATTAGAACTAACATTTTAATGAGTTTTTTAACACCGTTTTTAACTATCGAGTCAAATTGTTGAATTTATTTAGAACCGACGTTTTAAAATATTGACTGATGACTATGTATCTGACTTTGCCATTGCTTCCTATACTTACTTGCGATTCGTGATTAACTCTGTTCACTTTTAGTTCTTTCTCATATTATGCCGTATACTTTTCAAAATTCAGATACCTTTTATTTTATTTTGGTAATTTATTGTGCTAAGGAAGACACTAACAATAAGTAAAGTCAGAACGTCCACAATGTTTTTGGTCCACCTTTGGACAATAAAATATAGAATATTTTCACTTGTAACATCTTTATTTGCTTATATTTAGCCTCTTGACTCTCATTATTGTTTTTACACTTAACAAATGTTTACCTTTTTAACATATATAATATATGTGTGTACATAATACACATTTGAAGACGGTGCATACATTCAAATGTACGTGTATACGAGCCGAGATAAAAGCCGTTGTCTTCTGTTTCTCTCGCATGCGTACCGCTGCGCTAGAATTATAAATAAAGCATATGTCTTATCTCTCCTTTTGGAATTCTAGTCGAGCTAAATGTATATATCTATATTTAATACGCGAGCTGTACAGTTCACATCGAAATTGCCAACTGCCTGTTAGAATGTATTCTCGCGATATCACTATTTTAGTTTTTATAATACTATGAACTTTGTAACACATATATAAATTTTGATTTAATTTTTTTTTATTCTATTCGCTTAATGAGTTTGCTTATATTCATTAATTGAGGAATTTTTACAATTAAAATATAAATATATTTTATTCTATTTGAAATAGTAACGCTATAAACTTTATCTTATTCTTTGTAGGGACCTGGCCACAAGGTGATATCGTTATCGAACATGGTAAACCACTCAAAATGTTCTGTCTATTAAATCAGACGATCGTGGATATTGACTATCGTGGTAAAAGTGCGGAAGATCTTCGATTCTTTCGTAATGATCAGGAACTGGAATCGGAATTCGTCACAGTAATTAATGAAACAACGATAGAGCTGTTCATCAAATCGCCACCAGCCTCCGATGACATGTATAATTGCAAGTTGAAAATAAACAACAGCGACTATATAGCAGTTTGTCTCAATAAGGTTGTAGTTGGATGTAAGTAATTATTCTCATTTGAATTATCTTTTGTGTATTATCTTAGCAGGGTATATTATATTAGTAGATCTCCGAATTGATGCAACAACCGAAAAAGAGACGATTTCTCGTGAAAAAATAAGTCAAAATAAGATGGAATAACGTTTTTTTTACATAAAGCTCGTAAAATTAATGTTATTCTACATTTTTCTTACTTTTTCATCTCTTTAGCTTTTTGATTGTGTCATTAGTTTTGAGATTTGTATATGCTCTATTCTATTTCTACTAAAGAATATATTTTCGGTGAATCTGATGAATTTAAGAGTATTGAGAAAGCATATATATCTTGCACTATTTACAATCATACATATCTGAAATATGACTATCTATACATATTCAGTAAATGTACGCATTTGTTCTTATCAGCACGACCCGATGATGTTTTGCGGAGACAGCACAGTGCATTGATTCTCTTTTCATTAGAGTTATAAGTAAATCGTTTGACACGCACACGTCTTAGAAATCGTTTTACTATCATCGACGATAAAGATAACTAGAAAACAGACGATGTATAATACTAAGAGTTAGTTAAATCACTTCTTATCCTGTAGAAATTTGAAGAAGCAATATTTTAATTAAATTTTACACAGCAAATTATACATTTATATTATATTTATATTTATTTAATAGATTTTATAATTTTAACATAATATATATATATAACATAAAGTATCCGCAATCTTAGAAGTGATAGAAATTGAGAATTTATACCGATGAAAGAGTAAACTCGTAGGGTTGCGATACAAAGCAGATTGTGATACGCAATGTTTACAAGTACAATTTCACAAGTATCTGTTATTAACATATTTAATGAATATTAAAAGCTATTTTTAAAAATTATGTATTTAAAAAGAACACACATTTCTTTCTTATGTGAAATGTTTTATTTTATTCGTTTTGTTTCACGATAGTTCCACCACGTAAGCCTAAACACTTCGACTGTGTCTCCTATAATTGGGAAAGCTTCAATTGTACATGGGAGCCGGAACATAATTTTGTCCATACAACATACGATTTAATGTTCCAATTACCTGGAAGAACAGGAGCGATGTATTATTGTCCGCTCGCGACGACAGCAGAGAATTCATGCATGTGGGATATATATTCCGATCCAATATACAGGCAGCCGTATCCATTTTATATTTTCATACTGAAAGTGTCTAATGCTTTTGGGACCGAGAACTTTACATATCGTGTCCAACATTATCCTAACGGTATGTAAATTTTATACAGGCCATTATTTATACTTCCTAAAATATCTTGCAATAAATAATGAGAAATGTCGTGCAATATTTGATGTCGCATATATTTGAATACACTTGATGTTTAAAAATAATTGTGTCGTTGTTTTCAGTTATTCCGGCCAAACCGTACAACCTCACCTTAATAAACAAAACATCAGAAAGCGCACTTTTATATTGGGAGCTCCCCTTTCCGATGGCGACATTTCCAGTTGGTGTACATCACAAAATTATGTATCAACATCAATGGGATCATGAAAGAAATTGGAAGGTACAATCATATTGATAAAAGCGACATTTTTTTATTGTGTTAGATAATTTGTCGATATCGTAATTACCGGATTGAAAAATATATTAATCCAGCGATAAACAATGATAATTTTGATCGAACTTATTCTTCTCTTGTCTATAGGTCGTCAATATTACACATCCTAAGAATAGGGAGCAATGGCTTTTTAATCTTACCGGATTGGAGTACGCTAATACAGTGTATGATGTTCGCATTTATTTAAAAAGCTCGACAGCTGTAAGAACAGATCGATGGAGTGATTTCAGTGTTGTTGCATTCAGAACATCACCAAAATGTAAGTAAATTTATGAATTAGAAAGAGAATCTATTATCTTGTGCCTTTGTTATTTATTTAATATAATTGCATACTGCAAATAGACTATGATTAATTATATCTATCTGTTTCTATTAAATGTTTTCTCATTTGACTTTAGTGCCTGGCGCTGCACCGCGAACTGACATTGGTAGTTTCGAAATTGCTGAATATAATGGAAGCAGGGACGTATACTTGTATTGGCAAGCGATACCGCAGAATCAAGAGAACGGCGATAATTTCAAGTATCAAATCATTCACGTGGAGGAAAATGGCCACAATGTTGCGCTCACACCAAGCGAAACGACCAGGACATACGCCAAGTTGAAGGGAATCAGTTTCAACAGCTATTTATTCGAGATCGTCTCAACGAACGAGGTCGGTGCTAACAGTAGCCGTGCGAGAATATACGTACCAAATCAGCAAGAAAGTGAGTATATTAAGAAGGTAGATGTTAAGAGAGAATATGAAGATTTAAATACATCTAACAATTAATACGTTGTTATTTTGTTCGCAGTACCGCATGAACTAGCATTCACAAAAATTGCTTTCGAACATGGATTATATGAATTATCCTGGAAGCCGCCGTTCGCAGATCGTAATATCGTGAATTACACGATCTTCTGGTGCGACAACGAGCGTGATCGTCCTTATCAGTGTACCGTATGTATCAATACTTCTCTTCATTATTCGAATAGATTATTCGAAATATACTTTTTTTTTATTCGAAAATTCAAGGTGCACGTAGCGTTAAACATCATATATTTTCAGGGTTACTTGGACTGGGTGCATGTTCCTAAAAATACTATGATCTACAATATAACTGTGCCGGATCCGTCCAAGGTATACCAATTTGCAATCTCCGTCAATACTGAGAGAGGTAGCAGCGGTATGATATGGTCGTCATGCACGGTAATTCATAACAAAGTGCTCGGCAAGATGAAATCTGTATGGATTAATCGCATTGGATCGCACTTTATCGAAGTCGGTTGGAAGCTTGATTGCTCGGATCGCATCGGGATAATCGAGGGATTCAACATCTACTATTGTCCCATAATGTCACCGTTGAATGTCAACTGCAACGGTTCCATGCTTAATAGCACCATCAAGGCAGATGCGCGTACGATACATGGCACTATTGACAATCTGAAGCCCTACACCACGTACATGTTGAATGTCGCGGTGCTGACGAAGAGCGGCGAGGGTTTGCGTAGTGATCCTCTGTATAATACCACTCTCGAAGCGGCGCCCAGCACTCCACCGTTAAACGTGAGAGTCACTGACAAATCCAATACGACACTGCATATCTCATGGAAAAATCCGCAGGCGATGAATGGCGTGCTCAGATACTATGAGATCGAGTACAACGGTCAAGTCATGAAAGTGGAGGAAATAACTCATATCAAACTGATGGGTTTGAAACCGTATACGAAGTATTCTATTAGAATCTCCGCATGTACCGTAAAGTGCAGTGAAAAGTCAGAGACAGTAAATGAGTTCACGAGAATTGGTGTACCCGGCAAAATCAATATGCCTTTAGTGCGCTTCGTGAACTCCAGCCAAGTGATCGTCCAGTGGGAGCCACCGCAAGAACCGGCCGGTCCAGTAGAGGCCATGTATTACGAAATAGAGTACGGAAATGGCATAGTTCAAAACGTCTCTAGAACAGGTGAGATTAGTAAGAAAATTTAAGGGAATTTCGGAGTTAAACTAAACTAGGAGGAAAATATTCCTTTCAAATATAATTCAATTTTCTTGATCTTCAATTATTCTGTTTTTCTATTTTATTCCTATTTCGCCGATTGAATGGTAAAATGATAAATATAAAGTCGTGATAGTTGCAAAAAATAAAAATAAAAAGAAATAGTGAAAGATTGGGGAACTATAGAGGGAAGAATACGAAAGCTTGATAATCATACTTTTTGTTCATATTGCAGAAGTGCAATTGCCCATTCCCGATTGCAAGAACGTCGAGCACCGAGAGCAGAAGCACAAGTTCCGGGTCAGAGCTGTCAACACCAATCATAACGGCCAGATTTTGAAAGGATTCTGGTCCGACTTTGGGGAGGGGAATTGTTATAATAACGGTATTTTTATTGTTTAACATTAAAGAAAGCAAACACGAAAGAGATTAATACTATTTTATACAGACACGTTTGCTTTCTTATAAAATTGGCTACATTTGTCGCACCCACGATTCACATACACACATACATGGCATACGTTAACATTTGTGAGGTAAATGAAGGCGACGTTTATTTAAAGGACGTGACTATTTAATATCTTTTTTATATGAGAAATAATAATGTTGACTATAGTTTTTTTAGATATAATTGCGTAACCGGTTTATATGACTCGCAAGACCAACTCTTTCTTCATCCATTTCTTCGTTATTTCAACAACTATATTCTTGAACAATTCTCTTTGTTGTTTTTTGGAATCATGTTTTTGGAACCATATTTCCTACAATCTTTGGTAGAGTATTAATTTTTTATGTCATTGGGATTTTCTTCATATTGATGAAACAGATGCGATAGTATCACACATACACGTTTAACGCGGATATTATTACGCAATTATTCTAATTAGTGAATGTATATTTTCCATACAACAGGATTGTCGAACGTCGCATTGGTTATCATATGGATGGTTGGCGTCTTTAGTATCACAGCATGCATCGCGTGTCTCGTGTACATGTTCAAGAGGTAATAAAACTTCTATTCTCCAACAATTCTCTATATGCAAACATGATACATTTAAATAACTTCTAACTTTCCGCAAATTATGAGAAAATAATTTTTATTTAATTACAACCGTTTCAGCTCTATACATGCTTTAACACGCTTTGTGCTATTTTTCTTACAGAATGTGGATAAAATGTCGAGCTATGCGAGATGTCGAAGTGAAACTACCGCCCGGACTTGCTCCAGATATGGTGAGATTCTCTCTCTGTCCCGTTTTTTTTATATTTTACAATTACTTATCGAAAAAAATGCGGCAAAATTAAAAAAATACAGTATAATGTAATTTCTATTTTATTTTGTACAGAAGCTGCTTGAGAAGAACAATGAACTACACATACGGCAGCCGTCCGCCGATTCGAGTGGCTGTTCGAGCGGTCAAGAATCCGTTACCTCTTCGCTTACGGCGGAATCTCAAGTTTGCAGTGACAGCGGCACCGAGGTCGATGCGGTGCGTACACCATCTGACAAAGTGAAGAGTCAGCCTGTCCGCGAAATGACCCATCTGCGACAGAGAAGCACTACACGAATACCGGCTTCATTATTATCAGAGGTCACGCCCTGGGAGTATGTCAAAGTTGGCAATTCCGGTGAGGCGACTTCCGAGGAGACTGTATCATTAGCGCGGTCCACGCCTAATTTGACGAACAGCGCAATGTTGAAGAGCTACTCGCCATCGCAACACGCCTGGTCCAGCACAAATTACATCAGCATGCCGTCCTCTTCTGAGGCGCTATTGAGCAATCCGAGCCTCATTCCGCGAAAGAACACCGCTGGCGGCAACAGTGGCGACGGCGACAGCAGCAAGGACGGTGATGACACCAATGACGGTAGTCACGGCGACAACAACAGCAGCGACAGCAACAATGACAGCGGCGACGATAGCGGCGATGCTTTAATATCGATCAAATTTGAAGATGATTTTGAGAAGGAGAAACAGAAGCTGACCATCGATGAACTAGACAAGATACGGCCGATCATCGATCTGAAGAAGATAGATATACTGGTATCTCACATTAATCCCGACAAGATGACAATGGCGACGCCGTACGTTCAAGCGGGTCTGATAGACGAGATACCCGAATTGCCTTCCTGTATACCCAAGCATATACAAGCCAGAAACAGCAATCTGATGTGCGGCACCTTTAATATTAAAGATAATCAGAATTTATGCAAGAAAGAATACATGTCATTCCCGCCGGCTTTCCCCACCAATACCACCTTGACTTCGGCGAGTCCGAAGTATATCTTAGCATCGATAATGCCCGAGGGAATGACGATGCCGCCTATGAAGGCAGATCAAGAATCTTTGCCGCAGAAAACGCTCTACGATCCGCACAGTTCCACGACGAGCGATACCTCGTACAATCTTGCGAGTTCCGCGCACGAGACACAGCCGCAGGAGCAGCAAGAGAAAATGGAGACGCTCGCGGACGTGACGGAGGGCATCGACGAGAGCGGCAATAAGGACAACGCGGTGGATCTCGGTGCGTCCTGGTCGACAACGGATGCAACGGTAGAGGGGAAACAATTGAACTCTAGTTATATCACCCTCGCGGATTTATCACCTCCCTCGGCAGGACCGTCTTACGTGCGACTTGAGAAGATGCCATCGTCACTGCCGCAGACGACGATGAGTCAATCGGACGAGCAGTACGCAGAGGTGACGGTTGTGCCAAGTACAGTTCAGTGAGGTGAGGAGAGAGATACGCTCTCGTCTCGTTTTTCTCCTGTTTTTCGCGACGGTGATTATTGCCACTTGCGTAGACGGACGAAGTAAGTGCTACACTGTAAGATTGCGGTATATAAGATGGCGGTGCACGTGAGAAACTGGTGATGTTTGAATGTAAGATTGTGGCACTCACGCGAATCGACTGAGCTGAGCAACGACCTTTTTCAACCTCAGAATGAAGTCCAAGTTATTGAAATACGAAGAGATTTAAAGAGACTTCCCTCCTGGAACGTTTCATACTTGCTTCGAAAATAAGACTGGGTCTAAGCTAAAAAGAAGGTCACTGGCTTGGGAATTAAATGAATTATTGGAAATTCATTTATTGGTAAAAGAGCTCCTCGAGGAGTCTCACGTTTGAAGACGCTTCTTTAAATGGCTATCGCTAACAAAAAGTTTTATGCACAAAACATCCGTACAAAAGATAATGGAATGCGCAAGAAGCGCGAATTGTAGAGTCTTTAAGGAAATTTCTTAAGGAAGCGTTTTCTAGTTCCCAGCTGGCGTCTTCTTGTTTGATTATGCTTGCATATCCGGCGCGATATGCATATGCACGCGGCACGATACGTTCGAACGACGAGAACGTTAGATTGGTGTTCTCGTTCACCAAAGTATGTACCAGTACTGCGTTATTTGTTTTTATATTATATGCGTGATGTCGACGCGATATTATTCCATAAGTTAAAATAAGTAAATAGATTATACAAATATTATATATATATATAAATATGTATATATATATACGGGCATATATATGTATACGTATATATGACCAGATTGACGGACAGCCTATTGCTGTCGAAAAATAATTAAATTAAGTCCACTTCAGACGATCTATAATTCAGGATTAGGCGCAATCTACGAAAGGAATAGAGCCCTTCCTCTCAAGAGAAATCTAATATTTTAGAAAATTCGCGCTTTTAATTTGCGCGTTCACTTCACAAATTAATGATTTTTTTGAATAATTTATAATCGCGCGCGATACTTTTTGTTACAATTGTTACGAAGTTCCAGGAAAATATCTCTTTCTCTTATGAAAGAGTGAATATATGCATGACATGAAAGGGCGGTATATGAAATTTTTGTAAAAAAGATAGCTGTTTTTCTTAGAATTTTTAAGAGAGTGTCTCTCAATTATCGTAACGCGATTAAGCGCAATTAAAAAAATTTTTCTGAATTGTGGAGTGTAAAATTATCTTATAATCTACAATTTTTTCCTACGATGTACAGAGTATCGTAGATAGAGTTAACACACACACAGATAAAATTTTTCAAATGTTATACACCACCTTGTTATACAATTTTCCTCCTCTATACTCCTGGATCCGTCAAAATTTAAGATAGTGTTACAATTTTATGTACCGCGTAATACAAAAAGATTGAAGAATCACAGTACACGTATTAAGAAAAAGATAAAAATAAAAAAATATGGACGAGCATAGATACATGCGGCACAGAGAAATTTATGCATAGAACTCCAGATTTCTGTTCTGACAAGATTATAGATCGTCTATAGCTGGTTTTTAGTTAGGCGTTTTTTCACAGCACAATTTTTTCGCTAAATTCTCGTTTAATCGTGAGAAAATTTTTTTGCCATTTTTGCGAGGATAAGCAAACTTTTTTAGGACTATATTTTCTAGATTTCTTTATTGATGACAGAGAAATATCCTTGTTTAATCCCTAATTAATCATTTGGTTTAGCTGATGCAACATAATTAATTGTGTAGGCTCTGAGACTTCACATTTTTGACTCCATATCGCTAAATTAGAAATTAATTGAAGACTAAAATGACGCTACTCTGGTATAACACCAAGTAATAGGAAAAAAAAGACAAAGAAATAGAGTATGTCACAAATTTATATAATCTTCTCTTTAATTCACGTGGCACAGCGATTAATTAAGGATTAACGTTGTTTCGGAATGACGATTCTCAAACGCTATTGCGTTTACATCGTGCTGAAAGCAACAAGTGGATACAGATATTCTTCCGAACGATCTATCGATGCTATCTCGATGCTAACGAAAATTCCGAGCGAAAACATTTCCGTTCACCGCAGCGCAACAGGATTGCTCAAAGAAAGATGAAACTGAAACTGCTCGAAATTGCTGCATACAGTTAAGACAATTACAGACAACGACAAGACTCAAAACTTGCATAGATTTTCTATTTTTTTTAAATAGTGATTGTACCACGAGCTTATAGAAACTATCATTTTTCAGTCGCGAAAGCTGAATACGCGTAAGTTAAATCGTGCAATACAATTTGTCATTCGTTCACGTAGTTTCGATATTTCATTATCACACATCGATCATGAATAAAATTGTACGCAGCAACGTAACGAGCCTCTTTTATAATAGCGCCACAATACAATAGACGGTGTAATCGCACACGAGGACAGGGTCAGGGATAATAAAGTAAGATGAGATAAAAAAAACATCGTGATGAGCGCACCATGGGCGTCGCCAAGCAG